TTATTGTGTTTGAGATTGTTCTTCTATTTTGCCTGTACCGAATGAAACAGCAACATTGAAACGATTCGAAATGACGTTTTCAGTCAATTCGTTTGGTAGCCATTTTCTCGCCATTTGCATCTTTCCCATTAACTTTCAACAACTAGGAACAGTTTAGTCATCAACTGCCAAGCTGTTGAAAAGTGCTTTGAGAGTTTGTATTGGATTTTCGTCCAATAAGTCATGTAATTGATTGTGTTCGAACTTTTCTTTGTCCTCCAGGCGTAGATAAAATTACTTTATGGCAGGTCCCTACTGGGATATTGTATTCTACTTTTTGAATGTTTTCCCAAAATTATTATTGTAGACAACTTGAGGGGATCTTGTTTTCCTAAAATTATAATGCGATTAAAGAGAGTGGATAGTGAACAAAAAAAAAAAAAAGGAGGGGGGGCCCCCCCGGGCAGTGAGAGAGAGCTATTCGTAAAGAAGTTTCGCGACTCACCTATTGATGCGGCAAAAATTTTGTACGCTGACCATCCTATCATACTGCATTACCTTCGATTTAGCTTAATTTTGCGCAACTTAAACGAGGGCACACCTAATGCAGAGCTACTAAAGGAAAAGTCTTCAACTCTACAAGTCTTCAACAAAGTCTAGCAACTTGGGCTACCGCACAATTCAGTGGATAAGACTCATAATGGTCAGGTCGGTGTTCGTGGATTCGAATCTCAATGCGTTAAGCAATACCCTACAAGTAGCGATTAAATTCTTGAACTTCTGTTTACCTTTAATGATTTACAAGGATGTATGTTTGCTGACTGCTTTCCTGAAAGATATTCCTTGATATATGAGGTCATAGTTTTAACACTTAGACTCAAGTTCACATTGCTAATACATTAAGCCTAACAATATTCTAAGCAAAGATTGGTCGACTTTTTGAAATTGAAAATTGTTAACTGTTTGCTGTTGTCCTTTTTGATGATCTTCTCTATAATGGTGCCCTTTAAGCCTTTTAACGTTACGAGTGTTGCTTAATATGCCTGAATGCGTAATACGCAGCCAAAGATGAGTAAATAAATAAATAAATAAAAACTAGTTCACTTTCGATTTGCAGAATTAATTTTAAACAATGTTGGCAAATGTGAGAAACGTTGTGTCGGCTTTGTGCAAGTTAACTTTTAAAATTTCTGTGACAAAGAACTGAAAAATACGTCTCGCATCTACGTGTATATAAAACCAAATATATGTGCATATATTATTTAGCTTTAGGTGTTGCGGATGGTATGCTTATACATTCTATTATGCAATTTATTTTCATTATTTAATTCTCAAACATTAAAGATATTAACTATATATACTTAGTATGCATGAAATTATAAAATAAAATAATAAAAAATATCATCGATGAATGGTAAATGCAAAATCATTTTCAAAACCTTGACTAAGGTATCATTACATATCTTTGCTAGAGCAGTTACTAAAATAGCAACCGTCATAGTGCCCTATCGATGGATGAAAACTTGAAATCAAATAATGTAACGTATTTGTTAAGATAATAATTTCTGCCCGTAAGCTACACTTATGCACTTATATGAGCAATTGTGAGATGTTTAAAAAACTAAAGATATTATAATGTTTTCCTTAAGCTTGTTACAGCTGTAAATATTCTCGTATTTGCAAAAAGACAGGAAGAGAGACAGATGTACGACAAGTTTCTATCTGTTTTTGTTTTTGGGATATAATTAAAGATTTGCTAAGTGCTAACAGATTTTGTTTTGTTTATATTTTTTATTATTAAATAATGAAAGTTTATTACCTAATAGTGTCGGCTAAAAAAAAATGAAGGTTTTTTTTTATGCCTAAGCAGACATTTGCCTTGTTTTCACAATAAACGGATTAAATAATTATCCCCTTAACTTGGTCACTTTCTCCGTCTCCTGCTACTATTGAAACTCTTATTTAAAATATATTGCACTAAATACTAACTGAATACATGAAAGCCCTAATAGATTTTCATAAACAGCCCATGATTGTTTGATATGAAAATTGAGTTCAATGTGAAAGTACTTCAAGTGGAGGATATCTAAGATTTCTTCTAAAGCCAATGTAATTTCTTCACCTGACAAGCTGATCATATTCTATTGTTTTGCGGTTTATCACCACAATCATTATCATCATATCTTTCATGTTTACGAATGCATACTTATTTATGTAATTATTACTTACAATGCTATTAAATTACATATCGAACACACTTACTCACCGATCAATCATCAATTACCTAGTTGCGCTTTAGTATTTTCCATTCGTTTCGGTTGCTCTTATTTAAATTTTTTGAAAACCACAAAAATTGTAAACGAAACGCTTGTCACATTTGCTACTAGAATGGACTGCATCTATCAGCACATATACTGAATATAGTTCGAAACCTCTAAGAGAACATATATTAAATCAAATTAATGTCGCCTAGAATATCTGAATATTTATTTCCCTTTTAAAATTTACTAAATCAACACAAACAGATAACTTACGAATAAATGTATTATGTGTAAGATGATTACAAACGGAACTTTAGCTTTAATATAATTAAAAAGAAAACAAAAAGAATTATAGTCAGACCCGGTTGATCATTTCATATTCTGTACCATTTCGCCGAATACAGTCACTCATTCATTTTCGTAATAATACACAAAAAATTATTGCTTAATCTTGAATGAAGGTAAACATTTCATAAAAGCAGTCACATCGGAAGACGATTCAAATATTACCTGACGTGATGCAAACATTGTTCATTGGTCTTAAATACTTTCATATTTTAGACCTGTTTTGGTTAAAAAACACTACAGATTAAACTATACATGCTGGTGTCCATAGGGTGGACCTATGTGATCCAAATTTCGTACAATTCATTTTTATTCCAAGCTATGCTATTATGGACCAATGCTAATCATAAAATATTAAAAATTGAATATGAAAATACTATTGCTTCGAAATTGTTGTCGAGAAATTCTAAAAATTGCAATACTTTTCTCATTGTATGGGGAGTGGTCGAATAAATCGCCCAATCGAATGCGTTTTTAATAGGATTCATTGTTGGCCCAAAAGACATCAATGTGCCAAATTTCGTTAAAATATTTTTTAAAAAATTTTGCAACCATGGATCGAACATACATTGATAGACATTAGATGAGCAAATACAGAGAAAAGCTTACGTCGGTGTAATAAAACTTGGGTCTATCTTAAGTCTTTCTGGGTGTTACATATATACGCACAGGCCAAAAGAGTCTATTCTGCAATTAGTGTAGGTTATAAAAACAGGTTAGGGAATTATACTCGACTAGGGCCGAAACTTTTACACCCACCTTCTTTCAAGAAGAATTTTGTTAAAAATAAAATATCAATACTCCATAATATAATGTTATATTAATGGATGGGTGCAAAGGATTTTTCCCGCTTTTGTCTAAGTGCTGAACTGATCATCCTTAAAACGTACGGAACAATTTGTATCGTTGTAATTCTCATAGTTTCTGAGTAATGAGCGAAAAGCTTCAGTTTTTTGCTAATTTTTACACGGAACTGCAGCCATATCGTTTGACCGGTTTGGTCCGTTTTCAAGAGTAATTTATGTACAATAAATTTTGAATTTCTTTCTCAAAATCTTTATGATCATGAGAATACTTAACGCATGGATTCCTGATCGCGTGTTTAGATGTTGACATTGATTACGATAAAATATACGATAACAGCGAACTGAACACTACGCTATTGCTATGCTGAAGGAATTATCAAACGATATTTATATGCCCATCTTAGATGATGGCAATCCACCATCCGTTATTCGTCAACAAGGAGAAAGTTTGATATAATAATGTGGACGTTTTCCTTCGATTACATTAGCGTATCTTGGGGAATTTTGTGGGCGAACACAACAAAGTTATATGGTTGCTAGTATCCATACCATTTCTGCTACAAGGACATGTACTACTGTGTCCTAAAAATAAGTTCAATATCTTTGTAACCCCAAAGATCTTTTGACTTATTCTTTCAAATCAATGCCATCGCATTCATAACACTCACAAAATATTCCTTGTTTACATATAGCCTGGCGGAAGGAATTCGTAGTGCATACCATTACAATAATTGAAAACTGTTAAAATCGCCTTGATATTTGAGCGACTTTGGCGCGATTGAAACGCAACGTAAACACTGAAAACACACTAATAATGTTTATGAGGCTACATTTGAAAAAAATACCTCTCACAGTTGCGTCAATTAAGAAAAAAAAATTTTATTTGAAAATAGGTACAAATTTTTAAGGTTATAACCAAATTCACCTTAGTTATCGGACATAGTATTATGTTAGCTATTTGCTAAAGCATACCACCGCCAGAAGGTCTTAAGATGTACCCAGCTTCTAATATAGCGATCGATTCAGAATCTCTTGCCGAACGCAAGTCTCTCAACGTAATCTCCATGCACGCTTAAGTTTTTGAAATTTTTAAAGTTTTTTTTTTTTTTTTTTGCTTTTTTTCATAGAAATGTCTTTTTAATGTATTGCTTTTTAATAGTTCTTAGAATACAGATGCGTGCAAATTTGGTTTTCTTATTCCGTTTTATTGGAAACCTGTCCTAACCTATCTTATTTGACTGAGATCGGATTTTTATATCGTACAATGTACAATGTACTTATAGAAGCATTGGCTTCCATAAATTACGATTATTACTTCGCTTGTACATATATTGATAATGAAATTCAAACCAATTTAAAAAATGAAAATCATTTACTCACATAGTCATCATTTACCGATCGTAGTCTATTAAAACTGTTTTTTTTTTTATTTATTTTTTTTTTTGGGGGCTATTAAGCGGGCGCTTCACAAACTATTTACGAAAATTGAGAAAATGTCAAAATGTTTTCAAGTTTTGATAAATCAATGTTCAGGTTATATCCGATCTAATCACTCATCAATGACGCTGAGCATCGCCTTCACTTTTTAATTATAAAGACTCTGGAACACTTTACTTGTTACCAAGATTTTATTTTAGTACATTCCAAAAGTAATATTAAAAAAATTATATTTGCTTAAAATGCTTCACCCACAGGCTTTATAATTAATTCATGTACTTGGACATGGGGTGGTGTTGACAAACAATATAATACCGCCATCGCCACATCCTCCGATTGTAAACGAGGCAATGTTTTATATTCTTCCGGTGGTAGATCAGTGTTTACCAAACCAGGGCTTATGCTCTACAAAATTTTAAATTAAATTTACTCAATTGTAGATAAAAATGCCTTATAAAAGACTTTATTTACATACCGTAACTTTAATATTGGTTTGGTATTCGCGGAACTCTTGACGCAAAACTTCTGTCATGGCCACTGTAGCTTGTTTAGACATGGCATAGATATTGATAAATGGCATAGTACCAGGTTCCATGTTAAATATATTATGGCCTACGATACTATTGACCAAAACCAAATGACCATTTACATTACGGGTTTTCATAGAATTGAAAGCGCGTCGAGCACAGTATACCATGCCCATTACATTCGTTTGCAATGTTTTCTCCACATCATTTATATTCATGGTTAACAATTGTCCTTTAACATGAACGCCAGCATTGTTAATTAATATATCTACACCACCTAGGTGTTCTTCAATCCAATCGAAAGCTTCGTTTACTGACTCAATATCAGCGACATCACATTTGATAACGTGCAAACGTGATTGCAAAGAACTTGGGAGTGAAGAACGTAATTGTTCCATGCGATCAACCCGACGAGCTAAGCCGATTACTTGTAAATCTGCTTTCAGCAATTCCTTAGTTATAGCGGCTCCAATACCTGCACTAGCACCAGTAACCACAGCACAAGAATTTTTCCAGCGTTCCATAACAACGTTGTGTGGTTCGCACGAAGTAATATTTGAAACTAAATTTTCAAACTTTTGCTTTAAACGTTAAACCTGAAACTATATCAAAAGCATATATATATATATATATATATATATATATATATATATATATATATTTACGTATACATGCGAATAGATGCATATATAAGTATATTTGTACGAATACACGTGCATGTCTAAACACATTTATACGTATATATACAATAATATATATGTAAACATATATATAAAAATAAATAGATTTATATACTACTCAATATATATATATATATATATATCACTCAATAAGTTCGTAGGATCATAAGTACATACAAAATGATTATTACGGAACGCATCTCATTTTTCAATCAAAATATCTCAACATTCCATGACATTCCTCTCAATTAGTTTACAAGTCGTAATTGTTTAATTAGATGACACTACACATGAAATTTAGACGTTTCTACAGTTTAAAAAAAAAAAAAAGTTTGAAGGTTGATACGAGCTAAAAATCATATTGATTTATCAATAACGGTAACGTGTACATATTATGCTATGTACTTATTAAGTGATTTGTTATATACAACAGGTCCTTGCATGTATTTTGATCAGTGACATTTATTGGTGAAGATGCTAAAATAATGCGAATTATCAACGCTATTTGATCTGAGGTTAAAGCTCATCAGACAGTTTTAGAAGTTTATAGTGCCGGTTGCTCAAACCGATATAGCATGGGTTCACTGCCACGCGGTTTTAATTGCGGAAACGGATCAATGGTTAGATCGTTGTCAAATCAATATTGTTTCTTCGACGCGGTATCGCCATCTTGCCACAAACATGTGGAAAAGTTGTAGAAAATGAGGGAACATTTTTTCTTATTAATATATATATTGTGTCAACTTTTCTACATAAATTACTTTATGAAGTGAAAATATGATCAAAATACATGCAAGCACTTAATATTCCATATAAACTTGCGTAAGCTTGCGTAAAAATCTGCTTACGCCCATTTTATTGATACTATCTAATCTAACATCTAAAGAGCACGTTATTACGAGACCCATTCTTTTATGCATGCATTAGAAATATCGGACAAATAGCATTATCCCTGAAGTCTAGATATCTGATATCAAAAAAGTAAAATTTTAAATTGTCGTAACTGAAAACAAGACCAAGCATTATAGTGTTTTCGCATCGCTTAGGGTAAAGCCGGAAATATCAACGAACGACTTATGTTCCCATACACATTACAGAAGGTTCAAAGCATGCAGTAAGTAAATGAGAAAGAAAAATTCGTGTCTAAAAAATATGCAATGCTGATGAATTGACAGCAAATGTGTGAGCGCTGATCAAATGATTTTGCTTGTTTCGATACAAATATTAATAAAAACGTTCCTGGTTTAAACGCAATTGAAAATAATTCGGATCGGATCAGACCACTTTTTCGATCAGTTACCATAGAACGTTTTATTTTGGGAAGTCGTTATATAAGTAGCTGTAGGGTGATGTATACTATTGAATAGTGCACTGTGCAGTGTTTTTACTTGTTTGAAAAAACTTTTTGCTCTAAGAGGGCAAGTATTGTACAATAAAAAAAGGTAAAAAGAAAAGCAATCGGGTGTAATCATATTTTGTCATTCAAAAAACTGTGCTTAATTTCAGAAAATACAAAAGATTTATTAAAAATTTAAAGAGGAAGAGAAGCGACAAAGATCTGTAAATTCATTGGAACTCCAACTGAACCATAAGAAACTGAAGATATTGACTCTAAATAACGTCATAACGAAAATGGTTCCAATAAATGATGACATCTGCTTACGTTATCCGATAGGAATACGTGTAAAAATTGGCGTAAATAGCGGAACCGTACGCTACATAGGAGAAATATGTGGATATAAAGGTACTTGGCTGGGTATTGAATGGGATGATCCTAGCCGCGGCAAACACGACGGTGTCGTAAACGGCAAGCATTACTTTTATACCGCGCATCCGACTGCAGGCAGTTTTATACGACCCGATAAGCTCGGACCTTTTGAATCTTTGGAGACTGCGGCTCGCGAACGCTACCTAGTTGACTCTGAAAAAAGTTTAGATCAGCAATTGATACGTGAGGCACAAGAATTGTTACAAGCTTCATTATTCCAAGTCGTTGGTTTGGAGAAATTGGCTCGGAAACAAAGTAAATTTGAGCACCTCACAGAAATTAGCGTAGCCGGATCTCCAGTCAACAGTGCTGGTTATTTGATGGAATTTACTGCCCTTACTACATTAAACTTGAGTCATACGTTGATTTGGAATTGGCAGACCATAGCAGAGACGTGCCGCCAGGTATCCACTTTAAAAAATTTGAATTTAAGCTGTAATCGTTTTGTAGCACCCAGTGATTCACAAACTGTTGAATTGTCATCAGCCTTCGATAATCTGCAACTCCTTAATTTACGTAATTGCGAGTTTAGGGATTGGTTCGAAATAATACAAACTGCCCGCTTATGGCCGCAAATAATGTCAGTAGGACTTCAAGAGAATCCCATCAGTGAAATAAGTATAAGTATAAGTACTAAAGATGTTTTCAAGAACTTAAGAGAACTTGATTTGCATCGTACTAAAATCACTGACTTTGATCACATATGCAAGTTGGGATATCTTGGGACTTTAGTTTCGTTGAATCTAACGGAGAACGGTATCAAGGAAGTAAAGCTGCCCGATTGTGAGCCAAACACAAAACTGGACATGTTCATATCTTTGGAACAATTAAGTTTACTTTACAATCCCATAAGGAATGAAACGGATACTTTCAACGAACTGGACAAGTTACCACGATTGAAGCGTTTAAATAAGACTCCACATTTAAAATCAAATTTTGGTAAAATGCTTGTGAAGGCGGTTGGTCTAATCAGTGGCCTTGAAATGGTCAATAGAGCAGAAATTTCTGCTGATGAAAGACGTGGAGCAGAATATGACATATGGAAAAAATACGCTTTAGATTGGCTTCAGGCTTCAAAATTTCCCGAAACTCTTAAGGAATTTTATAAAAAGCATCGCTCTTATGCCTTATTAATAAGAAAATACGACTCGCCCATCGATTTCGTGCCACGAGCAAATACAAAGGTATCAAAATTAATAAAAATACGTATTTTGAATGAGAAAACTGGAGAAATGTGGGAAAAGAAATTTCCACGCATGATTAGTGTGCAAACGCTTCTTGGCTTGCTTATTAAACATTTCCATTTGGATTGTTTAACTATGACACCTGAATTGTATTATAGTGACTCAAGGAATCCGGAGCTGGTAGTACCTTTAGACAATCTCTCTAAGACATTAGATTTTTATTCATTGCAAGAAAATGATATTGTTCAAGTTAATTATTAGACTTTGGAGGTCTAAGTCGGTTTTTTTTTTCTATTCGCAATTTATATAATCAATTTTAATAATTATATTAATACAAATTATCTTTTTGTTGTCGATGCCTATTCAAAATTTGTTTTCCTTTTCTTGTTTTTCATTTCAATTAAAAAACAAGGTCGATTAAAATGTGCCCCTTCTCTCTCGTACTTTTTTTTTTTTTCATTTTATCTCATTTGCCCAAATATGAAAATCGTGTAATAAAGATAGCATTTACTAAATGCTCGCTTCACTTTTCTTTCTACTTTGTTTCATTATATTTTACTCGGTGTAACCACTGCAAGGTGTAGTTCGAGAAGATGAAATATTTCGACTTTGTACAATTTTTAAGCTATTTATTTGATGTGTGGTATATCGAAGTACTCGAAATCTTTTGCATACTTCGAATCAGGCAAAACACAAAGTGAAGATCCACACACCTGTCGATAACGCGGACCATTGTGCCATTTCTGCATAGTAGCTTTTCGTCGACTACTCGTAAATGTTTACCACGCATGGCCAAAAACCCAACACAATTTATTCTATTATTAGAATCAATCTAATTAAAGTCTGCAGTCACATATAAAGGACAGAGAATCTAGTAACCAGTTAAGTGCGTCGACCGCCTTGGAAAATGTGCATTTAAATTGCGTCGCAAAAATTATAGCGATGACGAGTATACATATCATACCCAAAGTATATGTAATATGAAATTATTTTTGTCATACATAGTTATCTGGTTAAAATTCATCATAACCTAGTGCAACTGACCGTGTTCACTTCTGCCAACAGATCCCATTAGAGTTGACCGTTATATAAGAGAATAGACCGTATTAGAACTGCAACGTCACTTATCGGAATAGGCAGACTATTCGTAACCTGCGTCACCTTTTAGAATCGGCCGTATTAAAATTCACCTTCACGTATCAGAGCTCATGTTAGAATCCACCGTTGCCCATTATTAACATAATCAATCCAAAATTATCGAATCTACCTATGGCGGAGCAATCATTAATTAGTTGCAACATTCGTTCGCTGAGTGCATGTACACGTATGTGTATAAAATAAAACGTGACATATTGATACGTTCGCTTAAAATTATATCCAAATTTGGATATTCTCAAAATATTTACGAGCGCATACAACAATCGACCGAAAATGAAAATTAAATTCTTTTTTCGGTTTTTTCGCATGTTTTTTTTTTTAATGCATAAAATCATTTTTCTAAACATTTTCCAATCGTTTAATCGTTACATTATCCTAATGTTTGAACAAATACGCCGTGGATTTCGGAATAAAAATAAAGTTTACTTTTGAAAAAGAAAAATCCAAAAAACAACACTTGAAATAAGAAAGTTTTAAACGTTTCTTGTTCGTTTCACGGACGTATATTATGTGTGGATATGTAAATAATAGTCAATCAATCAATCAATCAATCGATGATTAGGCAAAACTTATTGGTTTGTTTGAGTTATTTCTACGCTACGCTGGTTTTTCTAGGCGAAGATAAGAAAATAAAAATGAAAAATAAAAAAAAATAAAAGGAAGAAAGGAAACGGCAAACCTGCATCTTGCTTAGTTACTACTTATGTGTATCAACTTATATCAATAATATATGTATTGCACACGCTTAGGTACATGCATATCTAGGTTTTCTTATACGTCAATACTGAGTGCGCTATTTTATTCAAAAAACTACGTGATATTTGTACACGTGCTTTACGAAATTGAGTAAATTTAGTTTACAAAGAAAAGAAAAAAATGAAATTTTTGTGAATATTTTTCACTGATTGCTATTTACTTTATTTCTACTTCTATGACTACTAATGTTTACACGTGTGCGTTTGTGTATGTGTTTGCATATTTATCTTTATATACATATATCCGAGTGCATACTTGAATGCTTCAACATCTCTATGTTAACTGTACGTATGCGTAATATATACGTATATATGTGAAGATATATGCATATAAGCTTTCTTTTAAACAAATTTGCCAAATTGTTACAGAGGCTTGCAACAAACATAAACAGTTAAAGTGGTATCCTATTAAAGATTGTTAGAAAACATGAAAAAAAGTTTTTATTTTTATTTTTCTTTTTATTTTTTTTATTTTACTTTTATTCTTTTCAAAGACATTTATAATAAATGATAGCGGCATTTAAACGTAATTTATATAAAAAGAAATCTACTTGCCCATAATCTTTAACATTCTTTTTTTTTGTCGCCAAAAATAAGTTATAAAAGTCCTTTAGTCGTTTAAAAAAAATGTAATAAAAATATGCTACAAATATATTAACAGAAATAGAACAAAATATAACTCTCACGAAGAGAGTGCGGTCTACATTTACCTAAGGGGCAGCATGTAAATTGAACAAAGCTCTCAATACCTTTACAAAAAAGTAAATTACATAATGATGGCAAAAGTAGGAAAACGGTTCAAGCATGTAAGTCATTACAAACACTACCTTTACATTAGATTTCCGGGCTAGTGTTTAAGACTTTATTGAAGATTTATCGTAAAAGGATATTGCAAGTCAAAGAATGATTTCATTCATATACATTCATATATATTAAGAAACTCAACAATTGTTTGCAAATTAATTAGATTACGTTTAAAGCGCACCAAAATCACTCATCAATATTGTATTGACAAAAATGTACCGCCTGTATACTCATTCTGCTTTATGAATTACAATTCTCTTCTTCACCCATTGGGATTCTGTTGCATGTTTTCATACTTTAAAATCTCTTTTTTTTCCATTATTGCAAATTTTCTCTCTCTCTCTTTAATACGTTAAACTTGCTGAATCAACCTAAGTTCGTCTATCCGTCTGTCCGTTTGTCTGCTTTATTTTCTAATGCTCAGTGTACAGTTCGTAATTCACTTGGGTGACCACTCTCGGCCTCCACACTTTGCAAGAGTTGTCAGAAATACACTGTTGCAGGTCGGTCATGAAACTTTGCCGCATCCAGCGTACTCACCAGACATAGCGCCTTCTAATTGCCACTTCTTCAGAGCGATGCAGCATGTCTTGGTTGGCAAACGCTTTCCAAATGCTGAACAAGTGCGACAATGAATCAATGATTGGATCGCTGCCACACCAAAAGCTATAGGAAATAATGGAAAATATTTTGATTAATATAAATGCCTCTTTTAAGTAAAGAATGACCAAAATACATGCAAGCACCTAATAATATCATACATGATTTGGGATCGGATAAACTTCTAGTGTTTTCAAATTTTACTACCTATATATTAGCGATATTATCTTTCGTCCAAGCTCATTATAACGCCCCACTCCCATTTTTCGAAACTTATGCAAAATTAACAGACTGAATGTAAGCATCTTATGAAATATTAAAAGCGCAAATTACTTGTGTATTTCCTCATAAAGTTCATTTTTAATTAAAACATATTTGTTACAAGGCATAACAGTCGAAGGAGGCGCTACGACTATCTATGATTTGTTGCCTCTTATCGCGTAGCAAAGGAATACCCATGCAGTTTTGGTGGTTGCGAGTCGAAAAATTCATCGATGCATTTTCGTACATTTTAAACTTTAGTAAGCTTTTGCTGTGTTAACTACGACTGTGTCGATCTGAAAAAGTGATAATCAGCAACAAGCAGATCTCGCAGATATATGTGTAAGATTGATTATATGACGTTAACAAGGCTGAGATAATAGAGCCGGCGTAATCGTCTTTTAGACGACTGTTTGCTTCTGCGTATACTCGTATACTCATAGAGCTGAATAGTTACCAAGCGGAAAAATATTGCATATTCACCTCATTGATTCTTAATAGGTCCGCATCTTAATTACAAAACGCCACAGAATCGCAACTTATAGATTCGCAGATTATTATCGTCATTATGCTTTACAAAGTTTGCGGTTATATTCAATTTGTACCGATGTATATAATACTCATAAGAGCTTAAGATATCGATCGATTTAGAATGCATTCAGCTAGGTGCAGCTAAAAACGCTATATTCAGCTAAGTGCAGAGCTACATTCAGCTAGGTGAAGTCCTGCATTCAGCTAAAATTGCTATATTTTGCTAAGTGCAGCGCTGCAATCAGGTGAAATTCCTATCTTTTGCTAAATGCAGCGCTGCATTCAGCTAAAACGCTATATTTTGCTGAAAAGCATTCAGATAAAACAGCTGTAGTCAACTAAGAATGAATCGAATATTTCAACGTATCGTTATAATATATTGTAAATGGGTTATGACTACTCGCCTTATTCTGAGCAGCCTTCTATTTGCTCCTTTTTTTACAATACCATTTATATTTTTCATAAGAAACTTGTGCTAGCACAAAATTGATATTGAAAAATTTTTTTATTGCCACTTCTGTTTCGAGA